CTCCACTATCACTAAACTTCCCTGCTGTTACGGTGGACACCCTGGAAAACTCTGCTATGTAATCTGCTGAAACATGATACAAAACCTTATGGACAGGCTAGAAATCTGATTAATGCCAAGTACAAAGAGAAATGGTATCCAGAAAAGAGAAGTTTCTACCCTTACCCCAGAATTAAATCCAGAAACCTGCAAATGCTAGGCAAGGATCTGAACCCTGGGCTATATCCACCCCACCCCACCCCACCCCACCCCGTCCCACCCTTCCCAGCCTGCTTCCTTCCTTCCTTCCTTCCTTCCTTCCTTCCTTCCTTCCTTCCTCCCTCCCTCCCTCCCTCCCTCCCTCCCTCCCTCCCTCCCTCCCTCCTTCCCTCCCTCCCTCTAGTTCTTCCTTCCTTCCTACTGTCCAATTTTGAGACAGGGTCTTGCTAAACTATCTAGGCTAGCCCTGAACCTATGTTCTCCACACCTCTGTCTCCCTGGTAGCTGGAATCACAGGCACGTGCCACAACTTCTGTTCAGGAAAGAGACAAACAGAGAGATTAAATATAACTAGTTAGCAAGAATGCCAAGACAGAGGCGTTTCCATGAAGCTATGCTTGGGAATCAATTTCTAACAAAATGTTCTGAACGATCTAGAGTATGAAGCCCCCTGTTCCTTTCCTCCACAGAAAAACACTTGGACATCTGAGTAAATAATATACCGGTGTTGTGAACTGGGCTGAAAGGATCAGGCTCCCTTGTACACAGCAACTTGTTCTTTAAATACTTAGCTGTCAGGCTTAGGATCATATTTAGAAATCAACTTGGAGACAGAGTAATTGAACTCTCTCATACATGTGTATGTTTGGGAGGAAGCAGGGGAGTGTTTTTTTAAATACAGTATGTTCTGACCCAACAGTCAATAAGATCTGGGAGAGCCAATGATAAGTCACTGAACAAACTTCTGCACATGATTTAACAACTTTTTGCATTCTGCATTTATTCTAAGCATCCTTCATCTACAGAAAAAATGGACTCACCTACATGAACACTTCATGTAAAGTTGCCTGTCTATCTAGAGGACATCCCTCCAGACTGCCTCCTGATTTCTTAAAACATACAGACAGATCTTGGGGCTAAGGCAAAGTGTCTACCGTGGCTTCTTTATGTTAAGGGCAAAAATTCTAGAAACTTCTGGTAGGTGAAACATGATTCTATTTTACTAATATATTTAGAGACATCACTTTTACTTTCTGGTTCCAGTATGTAAGGCAAGTAGTAAGCAGGGGGTTAATATCATTACAACACTGTAATCCAGTATGAATACCCTCAAAACCATTCCTGTGAGCTAATGTGTATTCCTTCAGGTGACATATGTATTCAAATAAAGATCATAAAAATTTTCATTATTTTTCATTGAAATTTTCTAGAAAGGAAGTATAGAAGTGATAGCTAAGAATCAAAACTTTTTGTTTTTTGTTTTTTTTTGTAACCTAAGTGACCTTTTTCAGGCGGGCAGAGAAGCTCAGCCACAATTAAATACACTGCTAGAATTAAAATGGATGAAGACCAAGGAATAAAGACACAATGGAGTAGAGAATATAAACATGTAACTTTGACCTTTCATTAACTACTCCAAGGTCATTCTCATTTGGCTTGGGTAACTTCACTATTAAATCATCTATATAAATATCCTTGCAATAGCTAATAAATAATTTTAGTTTAGTTTTTCATGAGAATATATCACCTAATTTTCATTATAAACTCTAAACTCTTCTGTTTCTTTTTAATAGCCATAGTAAAGAACTGGCAAGGAATTTACCCTTTGCCTTTTGAAAATGCAAACTTGACCTGCCAGTACTGTGACCATCTGTGATTTGCATGATTAAGAAACATACATAATTTAGTTCATTTATCAGGGCATTAACACAATTCATCAAAACACCAAGATTTGCTTATACTAATGTTATTGTGAACATAAAAATACTTGGGAAGAAATGAGAATATATATTGAAGTCCATTTGATATCACCTATGAGGTGTGTGGATTGTGAGGAGTATGCAGAAGAGATGAAATGCATGTAAAAAATGGCTCTTCCTTATCAAGAGTCATTCTTAAAGAAGAGAAAGCTGTTATTGGAGCAACTGGTATGTGCTAGTCCTTTACCATAAGTTAGATTCACTTTCATTATTGATTTGTCTTGGCAAGGGAATGAGGAATAAATTAGAGAAAATATTTATTGCTCATTTACCACAGTCTTATATTTTAGTGAATGTTGCAATAAGCTTTTTCATAAACTACCTGAGACAGGCAGGATAAACAATTATTAATTTCTGGTAAGTGTTGGAGGTGGAAGAAGACACAATGTATATTATAAATCTACTCTGTGACAGTAAATCTCTAAAGTTTCATCGTTAATGTCCAATTCCCTGGATTTATGATTCTGAATTCTATGAAGCTAAAACTTCATGAAATGGTTTTTGTATAGAACATAATTACTAAAATGTAAGAGGCATCAGATTGTTTCCCCCAAAACATTTATTTTGAAGTCCTAATCACCTCAAAATGTTAGAAATCATGTTATAGATTAAAAAGCAGTTAAGACGAGGAATAGGAGGAACCTTTCAGCCTCTAAGAGATGGAGGTCTTCGTAAGACACACACAAGGACATCTGGTGGCAGTGAAGGCAGAGACTAAAGCTACACAATGGCAGATCAAGGACACCTCAGTGAGCCAGCAAACCCTAGAAGCTAGGAAGAGGCCAGGAGAGATTCCTCCATGTGTCAGAGTAGGCATGGGTCCGACTCTGCCTCCAGCCTTCAGAAATGTGCAGGCATAGATTTCTATTGTCTAAGTCACTCTACACTGTTTGTTCTATCAGTCAGGGTAGAAACACTTGAAAAAGTTTACTGATGACATGGTAGAAAGGTGATTGTGACTTAAGACACAGAGAGAAAGTCTTCATGAGACACATGTATCTGAAGGATTGTTACCCCAAATAACAAAGGATTCTAAAAACTTTCCAATAAGAAACAAAGAGTATGTTCCAAATGGGCAAAAGACCTTAGCAGATGCCCTGCCCAAGGAAATATATGTGAGGAAGGGGAACAAGTGAGAAGATGCTCACCGTCATATGTCTTCAGTGAACTGCACATTAAAACCACAGAGTGCTGGCTCAAGAGCCAATAAATGATGGTTGAACACTACTCATTCCCAAAGAGATATAAAGCCAGTTAGATTGCATTACTTAGGTAATACACAAACATCATGAGCACAGAGCTCTGAGCTAGCAGGCAGATGATCTGATAGCTTTTTTTATATATGGCAACAGGGAATGCATATTTATTCAACTATTTAGGAAGGTGATTTGTCAGTACCTAGCCTATGAGGTCAACTGCATGTCCCATGAAAATACAACTATGCTTTTTACCAGACACAGAAGTAAAGTGTACACATGAATGAAACAAAAGATAAAAACAAAAATGGTGATGACTATATCAAGCGTAGTTCTTATGTTAAGAAACTGAAAAAAGGCCCACTTCTCTCCAATAGTAGGATAAATAACTTATGAGAAAACATTATATAGCAAAGAAAATGGATGGCCTATAGCCACTTCATAAAATACTGGATTCACTAACAATGAAAAGGAAAGGAACAAAACCCAAATTCATACACTGATGAGGTCTCCTGTTCAATAAGGGAAAGCAGTTTCCTCTGGGAAGGTCGAGGACAGTGATCCATTTCTGTATGACCATGTCAGGGACCTACATATACAGAGAATCTTCTTAATCTGACTGATTGCACATGCAACAGTCACTATGATACATAATATTTACATACAGAAACAAGGTCAGTAGATATGCTTTAGTTTAAAAAGATTTCTGATGAAGTTAGAAAAAAATGGATTGAATTATAACAAGAAACAGATCAATAGCTTCTAGAAGCTGGGGATGAAAGGAGTATATGAACATAGAAGGGGGAAAAGATGTCTGGGTTACTGATGGAACTGTCGTATACCTGACTATGATACAGGGTACATTACATATGCACTGCCAACTCACAGACCCCCAACACCAAAAGTCAGACCTCAATAGTAAATAATTTAGAAAAGGTAATGAATTAGTTTATTTTCATTTCTGTGCAAAGTTAATTATGTGTGACATTAAAGTTTGGCTTTTTTGGTCAATCAGAAGAAAGTTAATCAGTCTATACATTTGCACTGAGAATACAATGCATATTTGTTTGGATAGATAAGTTGATGGGTAGGTAGATGACAGATGGGTAGCTAGATGATAGATGGATAAATAGAAAGAAAATAGGCAGATGGATAGACAGATGTTAGGTGGATGGAAGAATAGATGATAGACGTGCAGGAATCAAGTTAAAAAACACAAAATGCCGGGCGGTGGTGGCGCACGCCTTTAATCCCAGCACTTGGGAGGCAGAGGCAGGTGGATCTCTGTGAGTTCGAGGCCAGCCTGGACTACCAAGTGAGTTCCAGGAAAGGCGCAAAGCTACACAGAGAAACCCTGTCTTGAAAAACCAAAAAAAAAAAAAAAAAAAAAACACAAAATTTCCAACAAATAAATAATTAAGATAGTCTTTTATATAGTAGGAAAATATGAAGCATATTTGCTCAGATTTTATCTTTTATTTTGTTTACTTGTTTACTTTGAAGTGCTGGAGATGGAAATAAGGGTCTCATGTACGCTAGGCTACCACCGAGCCACATCCCAGCCCATGTATTTAAATGTTGCCTGATTTCAAAACATCCAAAGATTTATAATGTACACACAAGTAAATACAAGATAGTGGTTTAAAAAGTTTTTAAAAATTGAACCTTCCTCCTCACGAGAAAATGTGATATTGTTTGCTTTTCATTGCATGAGGTCATTTAACTCTTCCATGATGATGCCCAGCTTGAAATGTCCTTATATTTTACAACATAAAGGTTAGCCACGAGCCAGTGGCATTGGGTAGCTACCGACACAAACTAATGGCTCCTATGAATGGGCTCTTACCACGTGTGCTGGGACTTGTTCAGCTTTTGCAGCGGGAGTTCCTGGTCTTGGGTAGAACTGGTTGATGAAGAGGCTTGGAAATTTATACTCTTCAACAAGTTTCAGTGTTTCTTGAAAATCCTGATCGGTTTCTCCAGGAAAACCACAGATAATATCCGTAGCAATCGTTATTCCAGGAACCCTGAAGAAGAAAAACAGACAAAAATGTAAAAAAAGTTGACTATGAGCCAGAATTATTTTATTTCCTTGACATTTAAAATGGCATTTAAAAAATACAGTTTTTTTTTTTTTTTTGGACAGAGCACTTGCAAATAGTTTTGAAAAGCTCTAAATACTAAGAGATACAGTGAAATATAGTGGCCCTGGTCATCCTCAGAGGCATCCATTTTTAATGCTTTTAGACATGTTTTTGTTTTGTTTTCTCCTCAGTCTCTTAACATAGATGCTTACTCGGCCATTTCTGGATTTGTTGGTTTTTTAAAGGCAGTATTTAAGGACTTTTACATTATGGTAAATGAACTAGCTGTAAATGTACTTTAACCCTATGTTCCTAACACTGTATTCATAGTACTTCCATAGAAGAACTGTGGAGACAACTAGTAGACCAAGCTGTTTCTCAACAACATTTCAATTTTCCTAAGGGTAGTAACAGTCTCTTTGGAAAGTTTGCTTAACATTTTATGTTCCTAAGCTGATATCTTCTCAAGGCTTCATCAGACCTACCAAAACTCAACAGCAGGATGGGCTGTTGCCCAGTGGCACAGCTTGACAAACATGTGCAGTGTCCTGGGTTCAATGCCTGGCACAGGCGGCAGGGGAGGAGGGGAGATGGCAAAATCAAACCTACTTTTTAAACACTCAATGGCTTAGACTGCTCAGCATCCATGTCCCTAGTCTCTGGAAAGCCACTGCTACTTTCTTCGAGTATTCACTACTCTAGCAATGAACGGGCTGTTCCTCTCAGCTGTTGCTCCTTGCTCTCCCCTTCCTCAGTCTTGCTTCCCTAGGTCCTTGGTTTTGCTAATTTTCTATTACTTCCTTCCCTCTGCTGGAGTGTGTTCTCAGTATCAGGTGACACTGTTATTAGGTCTCAGGATGTCTAAACACACAACTGATAGGTAGAACAGTGGTATATAATATTCCAAATTGAAAAGGATTATCCACCAGAATTTTGCATCGTTCCTTTTAAAAAATGCTGATAGCTAACTGAACGTATGAAATTCACTCCTGTGCACACTCACTTTTTCAGTACTTAATATTAAACCTAGGGCCTGTGTCAGCCAGGTCAGTGCTCTATGGCTGACCCACACTCCAGCCACACATAATCCATTTCATGTGCTATATCACTTCTCTTTTTAGGGTGTCAGGTTTTTCTTGATCAATTTAAATTTCATGCTAACATGGGTTTTTTAGATTTTTTTTAAATCATTGTACAAGGCACAATCTATAGACTTAAGGTCTTTCAGTCTAGGAATCTAATTCTCTCATATTATTTTTTTTAATAATTTCTCTATGAAATTGGCTTGTATTATTTCTTTAGTAATTTCTCTAGGAACTGTCATATATAACACTTTCTCTTAAGGATTCATTTCTTTTGAATGTTGAAACTACCAGTTTGATCTTTAGCTTTTTCTGTCTCGTTTTCCTTGTGTGCTCTTTGGTCTATCTTCCAGAAAATTTACTTGAGTGTGTTTTCCAGTCTCTAATTTAAAAATAAGTAAAGCAGTAATTCAGTATGTTTCAGTGTCTCACACCTTTCTCCATCTTCAGTTTTCCTTTACAGGACACCTTGTTTCTGTTTAGAGATACAAAATCATTTCTTACTTGAGGATATTGAAATCTGTCTCAATTTCTCTGCTCACAGCCTTTGAACCTATTTCCTTCAGGCTGAGAATTTTCATCAGTAAATAGTCATTTTCACTGTCCTTTTGGTATTAAAGAACAAAGCACTGCAAACATTTTTTTTAAAGATTATTTTGTTTTATGTGAATGAGTGTTTTCTCTTCAGGTATATCTGTACATCACAAGCCTGGTGCCCACAGAGGTCAGAATAGGTATAAGATCACCCTAGAACTGAAGCAACAGACAATCATCAGCCACCATGTGGGTTCTGGGAATTGAACCTGAGTCCTCTGCAAGAGCAGTCAGTGCTCCTAACTGCTGAGCCATCTCTGCAGCCCCTGCAGACTTTTCATTGTAGAGTGAATATAGAGCAAACTGCCTTTGCTTTCAGTAGGTTCAAATGGTGCCATTTCTCTCCACAGCCTTACAGATTCTATGAGGTTGGCTACAAAGTTCTTCAAAACTTCAACAGTATAATGGTAATAGAATGATACAACAGTTACTAATAGCACTTAACACACATTAGGGAGCATGTCCCATATCATACTTCACCTCCTTTCCTGTCACACATGGCTCTTCATAGACGAGAACAACTATAGGTGCATAGAGAGAAGGCTTGGGCAAACTGGCATGCGTGATCCTAACACATAAATTCATGAAAACAGAAGCGTTCCAACACCCTCTGCAGAGTACTTACACCTGTGTGAAGGAAACACGACCCATTCATTGTAAAAGTACCCTCTTCCCATTTCTACTTTGCCTCACACCGTCATTAATTTGAATGGATTATAACTAGTGAAGTAATTCCAAAGATTTTTCTATGTGATGCCAAATATGGGGGACAATTTCTTACAGAACAAAGGAAATGGTCTATTGTGACAAACTCATTTCTTCCTTCTTTAAGGACAATCAAAATCACATTTGAAAAACCACAGAAAAATATACTTCCTTAGTGAGATGCAGAAAAAAATAATAGCATTGTTCCAGACTAAGTACACGGACAGAAAGAAGTCTATGAATCACTTTCAACTAGCTAGTTTTACACTTGCCTTCAAACTCTTCATGATCAAAAAAAATCCACAGCTAAAATTAGAGGCAAAAGATAACAGATGACAAAGTCCATCTCCCCCAGGAAATAGAAAATATCTTGTCTGTGAAACGTGGCAAAAAATGAAGACAATTGGTCATTGTCCTAATTTCTGAATCCAGAATGAATCTGGCAATAGCTGTGGGGTATTCCCAAAGGAAAGTCCCTTTCTGATCACGGCCATCCTTCTCTATCCATCAGTTGTCCTCTGCACTGGCCAACACCTGCTTATTTTGGCTTCCTTGGTGGTGGGGGTGGGGGTGGGTTATGACCAACCTTTAAAGGAACCACAATAAAGTGGGATGCTCAAATGTGAATGTAACTAAACAACCAATTCAAAATCTGGTCTGGTAACACAGGAGACAGAATACTATGAATTGATGGCATGAAAATATTTACAAGTAGAAACTTGTTTAATTGTTTAAAAGTTTGTAAGAGTATAAGTTGATTATTTATATCGTAAAAGGTAAGTCTGTACCTTAATATCTGACAAGGCTCATCTATACATTAATTTAAAATATGCAAATGTTTCCACTTATATTCTTGAAAATAATTTGATCCCTTAGGTAAGCCAACTAAAATCTCATTTACATTGTTAATTTGCCTGGCAAATAATTCTCAGTATGCAAAAATCAAAGAAGTTTGATTCTAATTTTGTATCTTGTGATTTAAGTAAGAGGAAATGATGAGGGTGTAAAACAGTATATTATTACAAATATTTAAATGTTGATTCTGGGCAAACACTGTCTTTGATACACTGAATTTTCAAAATTCTAATTTTTAAAAAAAATTCATTTTCACAAATTTAATGAAGTAGCAAGAAAAACGTATGCAATCATTACTAGTATGTTCGTGAATTTAAAAACCTTTTAATATTTATATTTTCTTAGTAGTTTTAGGAAGTAATTCTGAAACAAAATAAAAATATTCAATGAGGTAGAATAACAGGAGGAAATGACTCATCATTTTCTCTGTCTTATGTTTACTGGCAAAGCAGGTTTGTAAAATAACTTGGGAACAGAATAAGGAGAATCCTATTGCATATCTAACTGGTCAGAACAGCTATGTTCAGTCACAAAAAAATCTACCAGGAACCTGTTGTTATGAGAACCAGACTCTCTTGGGTTCGCACAACAACCTGTAATGACTACACAGTATCTGCTAGCACTAGGTTGGGTTTAAGGGGCTTGGGGGTATAGCTCACGTAGTAGAATGCTTACCTAGTACGCAAGTCCTGGGTTTGATTTCTAGCACCATATAAACCAGTTTGGTGGTACGAAAGACAATGCAGGACAAGACATTTCAAGAGTCATTTTGCCTTGAATCAAAAAATACATATATACACTCCACAATTTGATTTCTTTTTTTAATTAATTAATTTTTTTTCACAATTTGATTTCTTAAGAAGAATTTCATATAAAACTTAAGCTGTCCTCAAAAACAGCCAATTAGCCAAGGCTGGCCTTAAATTCCTCCAATCCTCTTCTCCTTTCCTAGTAATGGGATTGTGGGTGCATATCATGACACCTAGCTCTGAACGTTTGAAATACTTCTTAAAATGCATACTTCAATTCATCTTCCAATGTTCAATTGCAATTACACGTTTTGTGGCTAAGGGTGTGAAAGGAGAGCTCCTATCTCATTCTTTCACTGTTGATTGAGAGAAGGTTCCACTCTGCTGCTCAGAATAGCTGAGCCTAGGCAGGTTTCAACTCCCAGGATGCTCTTGCTTTACCTCTCAAGTACTGGGTTTACAGGCATACAACACCATGCCCACCTATTTCATTTCTTAAATTAACAGAGTCTCAGCTTCAAATCTGTAGACATGTGAAGAATCAGGCTAATACACACACGGTTGTTTATCTCAAAAGAAAGAGAGAGGAGTTGAGAAAAGACTGTAGAGTGACCAAAGGTAGAAGGCACAAACCCACAATTAAATGGACAAGTTTTACTACTATTGTGATTTATTTCACGAGAATTTTACAAAGCTACCGGGACAGTAAACTGGAACTAGGAAGAGGAGATAAAGATCTTGAACCAAACAAATGAAAACATAGACTGTCTATAGATATGATTTACAGTGAGAGCAGTCCTTGGGAATTTTAAGGTTTAATGACTGGAAGATATAAAAATCTATATTCTTAGCATTCATTTCACAGAACCAACAAAGAGAAGAAACCAAACTCAAAGTAAAATGGAGAGGAAATTTAAAAAAGTATGAGGAGAAAACAACAGAGTGGAAAACAATAGGG